GTACAATAGAAGTCAGTATTTGAAACTAACACGGGCAACAGTGCCCGACAACCGTTTTCCCAGGCATCGTTGATCTCTGATCTTGGGCGCAGACATGCATGCATGCTGGCCTGCATGCAGCCACACAAACACACAAAGCTCTGTGTATATATATATATATATATATATATTTGTGTGTGTGTGTGTGTGCGTGTGCGTGTGTGTGTGTGTGTTATAAGATGCATACGTACATATATACATGCAAGCATACATACATACCTATCTACATACATACGCACATGCACAAATGCCAACACACATGCATGCACGCATACATACATACCTCCCGTCCGCAGTGGCCTTTCGCTCCTGCGCTGTGTGCAAAGGACCGATGCATCATGACTACTGTCGCCATTGCGACAAGGTCGCAACATTCCAGTACACATGGTGTTGTTCTGCACCTCCTTTCTCTCACATAGCAGGTTGGCGCGACCGCCCTTTCCTCTTGCTCGTGCATTTTTTATTCCACAATTAATTTGTTTGTTTCCTGCAGGCATATCTGCGACATGCAGACACATGCTGTGGCATCATTCAAGCTGCAGCTGCTTGCCTGACGACTGTGAAACTCCGTGGAGTATTGAGCGAACCCGATCCAGCGCAGACTCGTGGGGCACCTGCAGAGCCAAGCGGTTTGGCGAGTTGCCTGTGAGACCAAAGTAAAGGAAACAACACCTGTCGAGCTGTCTCGCTTCGGCATGAAATGTCAAAACACTCCGAAACTAGGCTTCTCCATAGTCGAGCTGTCCCGGCCTGCACGGAAACGAGGCTCTCCGACAGCGTTGTGCCCTGCACCCACTGTTGAGGAGTCCGGCGACATGACCGGCTAGTGTCTGAACTCTCACCGTCACAGATAATGGTATCGGACGACTGCCGGCGACGAGGCTGCGATCGCCTGTCAAATGATTTGTTGATGCGGCTCTATGCTCGTTGCGACTGGCGCAACAGTGAGCACGTGTATCAGTATGTGTGGTCGAAGAAATAGATGTAGTACAGCGACAGCACTGTTAAATAAAAATCAGTGGTAGGACTTGAGCCACTCGGCCAGTCGCGTGATAAGGTGCTAAAACGCGCAAAATAAGAAACCCCGACCTCGGGTAGCAAGGCTTTTGCTTGGATTCTTTACTTCTTTCTCTCCGACGACACCAGATGAAACAAACTGAGGGACCGGGTCCCAAATTTCGGAGGTGTAGCCGGGACTTGTCACAGGGAAGGCAGTCCTTACCAGCCTTCCGAAGTTCTCGAATACTTCCGAGGGCTTCACAAAAGTAAAAGCAACGACAGCCAAATTCAGAAATTGAGGAGCTCGATTTCTGAAACTCATAAGAAATTGAAGGGCTCACGGGTCTGGTGAGGGCTCATCAAAGCCGGTACGACTTAACAAAGCTTCAACAGTTAAAAGGGTTTAGCGCATGCTTTTCAAGGGCAACAAGAGCTTAACGCGGGACTGACCGTACAAGGACATACTAAGGTTAAGCACAGCTCCTAATGAGAACTTGAGGGGCTCGCTTGCTTATGAAGATGCTCACGTCGGCGCATGCGCCTGTTGGAAACCCATTTGTTCGGTCGAAGCAATACATGTCTGATATAATGAAGAGCTTGACAAAGTAGTTACTAGAACAGTGCCAAGAAAGTGTGGAGACCGCGCATGTTGCAGAACATTCAGGTTGCCACATGACCTGGCCAAGCTTTGCTTATGCCCAACAAAACACTTCACTGCCCGACGGGAAAGCCAAACGGTATGGACAGCACAAATTGAAGCTCTCACCGCAGCATCGCTGCATCAGAACACCATGTGCCCCGCCGGGTCGGAAATCTGGCCTTGCCTAGCATTTTCAACCCTTGCCAGGCATCTTGTTAGTGATATCGAGTGATTGCCAGACATGCCAGATATTTCCAGTTGGTTGCATTGCTTTCCAACGGATCCAGGTGATTCAAGTCAAGCGTCGGATTTTAGTTTTGGGTTTACCCCTAAAAACACATGGACGCAGCAGTTTGGGGCTCTCGTGTTTCTGGGTGTCCTTTCCAACCTCTCCAAAACCATGAAACACCAGCACCTGATAAAGTATAGCATGTATTTAGGTTTCTCTAACTTTTCGTGCCGTTTTTCCGACCGACCTTAACAGGACATGGGCCTAGATTTTTCTTCGGGTCCGAAGATCATGGCAACTGGAACACCTGCGCAGTATTGGCGTACCGACAAATTTCGTCACACTTATGTCGATTGTTAGCTTTGCGCTTCTTACGGCAGCTTTTCGCCAACAGGAGTCGTTGGACCTTGTTGGGGCAGTCCATTTAAGGCGCGACGCAGATAAAACCTGACAGCCCTTGGAATGGTGACTCTGTGGTGTAGGAATGTAGGGATTCAACAAGGCCTGCTCTCAAGCCAAGATAAGCAGAGTATGTTTCTGCCATAGCACCGGTGTAACCTGCCACAGGTCGGGATGGCAAAGCAGAGTCGCTAGCTACAGATTTCAGGCCCTCGCTTTGGATCGGGGGACTGCCAGCAGGACGGCTCCTGAGCCCCAGCGAATCCTAGCGAGAAATGCTCCGGGCGAGACCAAAGGCTTTCGTGAACAATCACAGATGGTGCCCTGGGGTCCAGGCTGTGCTGAGCTGTGTGAGCCACGCACCTTGTTTCAGGCGTGCGCATCTGTCTGCAGCCGGTGCAGCACGCGCACAGAGACACTCCCGGAGCAAGCTGAGACAGCAGCAGAGTTGTACTCATCTCGATGGCTTCCCTTTGCAGATGCTTGGGGAAGGGGAGGCTTTGCAGCGTGAATGGTATCAAGCGTATTGCCACACGCGACAGCACACAGGCGAAGTTGTATATGCCGTGCCAAAGCCCTTCCGAGCGAGTTGTCACTGGCTTCCGATGCAAGCATACAAATCTCGTGCATAGTGCCATAATAGCTCGGCTGCAGTATAGGGATTATATAGATGGCCGGAGCGAAAGCTTCCGGTTGAGTCCGGAGTCCATGGTACCATAGTGTGTGGGATTCGTGCAGCTGCTGAGATTTGCTTCGAGTCACATGCAACATGTCTGCTTCTTCTGCACGCGTTTTTCTATGACTCTATGATATGTTGTGGCCTTGGTCGAATGATTTTTGGGCGCTTCCCTTTCTGCTCATGGTGGATCTCCTTTGGCTGAGGGTGTTTGGAACCCAAGTGGGGCGGCTTGGTCTCCACATATTTCCACTTTTCTTAGTTACTTGCAACGTAGATCTATGTAGCCGGCCCAGAAAGGGCGACCCGTTGGGTCGCAAAATCTGCAGGGCATCGAATAATAAAGACTCCAACAAGAGCAGTCTTCGTCGGGCTTTTCGTCTGTGCTTTTGGGCTTCCAGCCATTGCAGTCCGCCATGCGCGGTCCTGCCAGTCAGTGCTTGTGGGTATGGTCGATGTGTTGCGATGCTGCAGGGCCTTGTGGAATGGCTCGACATGGCCTGCAGTCATGGCTTTAGGCCCACACCCGCCTGTGTCACAAATCCTTGCAGCTCGCTATGTTTTTTTGACTGGAAACTCAGCAAAGCCGTACGACACCGAAGACCTAGGCCCTACGACAAACCCGCGACAACCGAAACCAAGCAGCCTCCCGACTATGCGCAGCTCGCCGAGCTCGCTATGTAGGTCCAAAGCTCGCTACATGAAACATCGAGCATGAGGCAGACTGCACACGTGCATCCCTCATGTTGCCAAAATCGATGCGATCTAAGCCAAATCTCGGCGAAACACAAGGCAGAGCGAAGATTGTGTCACTCTCCTCCTCAGATTTGGCGCCTGATGGCGCCTGCGGACAGAGACACCCAGATTTTCTGCAGCAGCGTGGCGCGTCCACTCCTCCTCTAGCTCTTGCATTTTCTAGCCACATTTGCTCATGCGTTCTCTCTTCCAATGAGGCGCCAGAGCGGCCCACGGCTGGAGAGCCAGCGCACGTTCGTCCCGTCCGGAATGAGGCGTCCCTGTGCCTTGTAATTCGTGTACTCCTTCCTGGTGAAGCGGGTGAATCCAAACTTGGAGGAGATGTGGACCTTCTGTCGACCGGCAAACTTGAACTTTGCGCGGCGCAATGCTTCGACCGCAATTTGGATCTTCTCATCTTTGGTCCGCACGGAGATCAGCACCTGACCGATGTCCACTCGTGCGGCTGTGCCATAGGGTTTCCCGAATGCTCCACGCATGCCACTGGACAAGCGATCTGCGCCAGCGCATGAGAGAGTCTTGTTGATTCGTAGGACATTGAAGGGATGTGGACGTATACGAATGTGAAAGAAATCTCTGCCGGCATTGGTAATCATGTACTTGTTGACCGCGATGCGCGCAGCCTCGAGGGCCTCACTAGTCAGCTGCTGGTCTTCATCGCACACTAAGTGTGCAGAAGCAGGGTATTCATCACAAGGCATCTTCTTCTTCCCAACATCGAAAATTCGGATCTTCGGGTCGGGCACACCTCGGCAGTATCGTGTTTTGGGGTACGGCTTGTTCTTGTTATACCGGTAGCATTTGGCCGGACGTCTGCCCATGGCAATCTGTGGATTTTGTCCGAGGGGATCGCGGACACGCTATGCTGCAGGAGAGACCTAAAAGGAGCCGGACAAAAAGTGGGTGGCGAGGCCAGACAGGCATCCCATGCAAGAGCCAAGGCATGCAGATAAGGAGTTGGATGATTTTATGGCTCTCCCAGACCATGTACTGGCCACCTCGTTGTGAAACTTCGCCTGGGCGATCTTGACACATGTGCACTTCTGCAGAGTGCCTTCGCCCAATACGGCTCCGAGAAACTGAACTTCAAAAGGAGAGACAACTCACTGACAGTCTACACGAGGAGTGCGTACGATGCGCGCGCTGCGACATCATCCGTCTATGTGCCGCCTCTCGATGCGGACAAAATCTTACGATGCCAGCTTGGCAAGCCAGCTGTGCCATCAAACATGGTCATGAATTCATGGGCTGGAGCTTTTGGCTCACGATCCACGCTGCATTGAGCAAGAGGTCCCCCAGGGTACCTGCGACTTCGGTCGCGAAGGAACATGGACAAAAGGACTGATAGTGGTAGATCCACCCAGGGGCACGTTCTGACCGAGGACCTGGTGATGATAACGTCGCCAGCTGCAGCCGTTCCGGCTGGCTCCAATCCAAACCTGCGATGTGCGAAGAATTTTCAGCTTCGAGATCTGGCGGCGGTCAATTCGGGGACGACTCGGCCGCACTCGGCGTGGCTTGATTCTGCATTTTCGAAGACGGCAGACCAAGTTGCAAACTAGTCAACGAGTGCCGATGATTCTGTCTTTTTCGCAAGGCTGCTGGATTGCTGAAAAGGGAAGGGATGTGATGGGGTCACAACACCATTCGTTCGGGTACCCTGCCGATTTTCTTTATAGATCACGATGCCTGGTTCTGTTGCGGGCTGCCTTTCGTTCCTGTATGCAAATCTCTGCAGATCCATCGATAGAAATCTAAGGGCGAGGGATCAACAAGCGGGCAGTATGTCTTATGTCAACATTTGATGACACTGTCGGGGAAGGTTTGTGCTGTTTCCCGCCCATGCAAACCTGCGGACATAAGAGATTCCCCATGTTCGTGTGGACGTAGGAATGGTACAGGGGGCTAGAGGCATGTCAATTGGAAACAATGCAGTGTTCAACACATCTGGTTGGGTGATTGCTGGGTTGAATTCAAAGCTCCATACTGGAGGAGGAGATGGAGGAGGATGGGGAGGAGGGGGGTTGATTTGGTCTTACCACGTCTTACTTATTGCATGTAGCGTTCAGCGTGGCTACTTGCGAGATAGTTCACTGCAGCGTCTCCGTTGCTTGAGCTTCTAACACGACGGCACCCACGTGCTCAGCTGTTCACAACAATGTGAGTTCGATTCGGTGTAGCATGGTGCAACGATATCGGCAAAGCCCTTCCTCGCGTGTTGTTGGGCCGTGCATAGAACTGGTACTTCGCCGGTAAAGAACCCAGCTGATCTAGGCTTGCTGTGGCTTGCTGAGTGGCTCGGCTTGGCCGGCTTGGCCATGCAATCTTGAAGCCTAGGAGGACATGCTTTGTGAGTCTCGCAAAGAGACACACGGGATGTACGTGCGCACCTTCACCGGCCTCGCTAGTCGTGTTCAATGTGAGCTCATCAGGTGCATGGAAAGCAATTAACATGCAGCCAGCATCAGCCAGCCAACCAAACAAACCAACAACCAACCAACCGGCCAGCCAGCAAGGTGGGATGCGATTGCGCACGACGAGTTCTACGCTTGAAAGACTACAGGGCCAGGCAACACTGCTTCACAAAGCCGTAGGCTCCTGCGGGCGCCTCGCTGGAAACTCCCGCTCGTGTAGCGGCTTCCCAGAACATGCTGCATGGACGGTTTGCGGCCGCTGCCCAGATGGCGCAGTTCTCGGCGTGGTCGACAACGCATAGGCCTTAGATGCTTCAAAGACGTCTGGAGTGGACTAGAGATCAGAGTTCTCTGAGTCCGACTGGAGCTGTAGTGGCGCTGAAAGTCCTGGAGCGCTCGAAGCTGTTTTTTCAGAACCATCGCCCTGATGCAGTCATCGACCTTCTTGCAAGGCCCAGCTCCGCGGGCAGCACGAAACCCGAAGCCTTAGCGCAGCGGGTGATGTCGTGTCTTTGTTTGTCTCAAAATTTCGCCGAGACGATCGATCACCGCACAAGTTGGAACGCCTCCTTTCGCCACAGCCGCCTTGCTTGTGAACGTACAACAAACATACCCGATTGCAGGTCCTTGCACTCCGGCCGTGGTGCTCCGGACTCAGCAAATCTGGTTCTTGACACGCTTGATCGCTCTTGCTGGTTTAGGGCGTCGGGTTCGCCAGCACTTTTGACTGCTGTTTGTGTTCTTGGGTTGAGTTTTTCGACAGGACTTCTTTGGTGCTACTCGTTTGGTCGCAGAAAGCAGCGCCTCAGCAACACCTACACAAGCGCTCAATAGGGGATGTCGTGGCCAGTTGGCCACAGCAAGCCAGTTAGACAGCTAGACGTGGCAACACGAAACTACAAGGAAGCAGCGCTCTCATCGCGAGGAAATAACACTCATCGCCATTCAACTATCTTCTCGTCTGTAGGTCATGCCTTGCAAGGGAATTCCAGTGCACAACGCAGAGCAAGTGCACGAAGGTTTCATGTCTTGGAGCTTCCTTGCAACCCTTGCCTGCAGCCAGGAAGGCACAGCAATGCTCTGGGTGCAAGACCGGCGGCTGCTTGGTGTGCCGCGCACGTGGCGTGCTCGTCGCTGGCCTGTGCTTTTGCTCCTTGCTCCCTCTCTTTGCACTCTATGCTCTACGACTCTACGACATCGCCTCGGCCAGCCGAACATCGCCTGGGATCGCTGCATTTTGAGCCCTGAAGCCTGCAATGTCGACAGCATCTCACGAGATTTTCACTTGGAAACTCAAGTGTGGGGTTGAGGCAGGATGCACATTCTGTCGTGTCTCCAGCACATACTCTGTGGCCCGAATCGGACGTGCGCTTGTCCTGCACTTCCTAGAGGATGTCTGTGTGTATATATATATATACACACATATATACACATACATATATACATATACATACACTGACTCGTATGTCGTATACGTGTGTACATATATATATACACACACACATTTATTAGCATTATTGGTATTCGTGTGATTCCTCCTATAGTTTTGCTGTTCGCGTTGTTTTTACTAGACGTGCATGTCTCTATATGTATATATATATGAGTACACATACAGACACACTACGTGTATATACATATATATATATATACACAGACATATGTATGTATTTGTGCGTATGTGTATTTACAATATGTAGATCTACTTTAGCTGCAGCTAGAGTTCTATGTTCAAGCATTTTAGCGTGGCATCGCCCTGGTGAAACAGGTTGTCCACCTGCTGTAGAACCTCATACCATCCTCGGAATTGCCGTACAAGGCAGCGTGGCGTCGGTCATATCTCAATGATCACACTTGCGCTTGGAAAGCAGATGAAAAGGTCTTGCGGAAGCGTGTCCGAAGCGTTTGCCCTGGCTGAGGCTCTCCTGCTTCTCACACCAGCTTGTCGATATTTTGTTATATTTTGTTCCGTCCCTATCTGCGCGAGGTTCGGCCGGTACTGTCTCAACCACTGCCGGGATGGAATGCGAAGGCAAGGTTGCAACCCAGCTGGCCAGCAAGAGAGCCCAGGGTGCGCACAAAGCTCTTTTTCTATCACCAGCTGGAATGCTTCGCATGTCCCTTCGGGAACGGAAGAAGCTCCGCCTGCTACTACCTGCTCCCTGCCCACTTTCGCAGTGATGCATTCAAACCAAACCATGCAAATCAGATAAATGTGAACACTCTGTTTTGTCCGCAGCTTCTCAGGATCATCTCCTTTTCCTTTTGAATGAGCGCTTTGTCATCCGGGCTGAGACAGCATACTCCTCCCTCGACTCTTCCGAAGTGCAGCTTGCCTTCGGACATAGTCCTGCCCAGAGCAATGCTCCAACAGTGAAGTGATGCACTACAAAGCACGGTAGCATCTACTCTCGGCCACCACAACCATTCGAGGACTGCGGATTCGGGACACTGGCACCTAGCTTGCAGGTTCAGAACAGGCTCTGCGGTGCTTGGGCCCTATCAAAGTTGTTCACCGAATCCGCTGAGACTTCTTCACTACATTGCGACCTTACTTGCAAAGCCCCTGTTCATTTTCCGTCTGGTTCTGGCTCTGGACACGACGGGCAAGCGTCTATTTCCTCGCCAAATCCAGCACACTTCAGCAAACAGCCTCACGTGCTTTCAGAGACTGCGTGATCCGACAGGTTACAGTACGCAGACGGTGCCCTGAATTGCCCCCAAGCCATGAATCACCGCCTGCCGTGCGTCGCGAGCGCACCAGTCCCTGAGAGATAGAGCGAGGCAGGTCACTCGGCAACACACAGAGACTGGGATTGTCTCGATCTTGCCTGCCTCGTAAAACAGATGATAGCCTGGACTGTTTGGAGCTTCGAGACTGAAGGTCATCGGGTCGAGATCCTGCAGGGTGTGTGCATGACACAAAGACAGCCACGCAACTTGCAAAGAAGTGAACCATCCGCAATCCAAAGTGCAGACGTCTTCGGACCCCATGATGCCGCCGCGCAGTATTGTAATCTTCTAGTCAGCTCCTTCGATGTGACCACCCAGCTGCGTCGGAGGAAGCATTCGCCGAGTGATGGGATCAGCACTGTATCCCAAGTGCTCATATGCTTCCGCCACCGATGCCAAGCCGGGCATCAAGTCTTCCAGGCGCCGCCTCGCAGGGTTCCCGAACTGCGGAAAAACGACAAAGTCTTTTCTCATGTCGGCCTGTGATGAACTGGTCCAGGTCTCCCAGCTTGCAACTGAATCCTCAGCTCATGTTGAAAAACCACTTATTGGACTGGACAGCACAGATGAATCTCGGTTGACTTCCTGGGAGATCTTTGGAGTGGACAACTCTAAAAGCAGGAAGAGTAGTAACGTATACCCTCACGCGAACGGGCCGTGACAGAGAGTAGGCAGAAAGAACTGGCAGTAGGGCTTCCACATCTTCCCAGTCAACATCAATTACAAGTCAGTACAAAGGCAAACATTGTGCCAAGCATCTGATTTGCCCGAATATCCGCATCTCTTTTGAGATTCTCTCTGTAGACTTTGAGCGCGCCGAGGGCATCAAACTTGTTGGACGAGACACCTGGCAGGGGACTCAGGAAGGAAAGAATGAGAAGAAGGCCTCCGAATCACATTACGAGTGACGGTAGGCCGGCGCAGGGCTTGGGGCTGAGGATGCGGCCTGGATAGTGCGGCTCTGGCTTGTCAGGATCTGGGGGCATGCCGAACCTGGCAGTAGGCACACCCAGTGACACCATCTCTTCAGCTTCGGCTCAACCGCCGGACATTGCAGGGAAGTCAACCCAAGTCTTGAGCCCAGAAGTACTGCGCTGCTTGCTCCGGGTCGACGGTCTCACACCCAACAGGCAGTAAGGCACGGTAAGCACTGATTGGAGTCTGACTACTCGCAGACTCATCGCATAGAAGTTAGGTGAATCTCATCAGATGGCGGGAAGCACCTCGATAATTATTTGGCGTGCCCGGACCGGCTCTTTGTGTGGCTCCACACAGATACTGCGATCGGAGTGCCCCAGGACTGGCCCGACCGTTTGCACCAGGCTTCCTTCCGACTACCAGCTCATTGAGGTTCCAGGTCTGGCCCGGCAGGCAGCAGCTGCTCGCACATGCGCGGACATCCCTTACACGTTCACGAGGAGCTTATCAGCTCATTATTCGACAACCGCACAGTACCCAAGATGGCGCGAAACAGTTTTGCATGATCTGGCGACTCTTCCAAACATATACATGCACCCACATACTTCCAACCACTGTCAATAGGGTCAATAACAGCTAGTTGATAATGGCACTCGGCGACCTAAACTCTGACACTTTGAACGGAAGGCGGAACAGGCAGGGTAGAAAATCAAGATCACTGTCTCTGTTGGCAGCACTGCAGATATTCTTGAGCTATTGACTATTGCTGTACAGTACAGATGCTGAGTACCCAGCGGCATCAGTTTTCATACTAGCACCATCTCCAGATCATTCTACAGTAAGGTTCCGCGCGGCACTCGTCACTGGGCCGGCTGGCTCACATGCTTTCAGCAGTCTCGGCTTTGCACATTCTGAAAGTCCTTTTGCATTTGCTCCTTGATTGGGGCACGCAGCGGCAATGAGAGATGCTGCAAACGAATCATCACGTCGAAGATACACAGAGCCCAACGTGGTGCACTACACTCGTATAAGCTCGGCGCGACGTGTTTCATCAAGCGCTCAAGATCTTGAACGTGATCGCATGCTCCGGAGGAAAGTTCTGGAAGAAGCTTGTCCAACATACCTTGCATTTGGCCACTAATTGCATGTAGCTGTAAACTGTTCACAAATTTGATGTTTCGTGAACATTCAGTCGAACGGTAGCGTTTCTTTCCGCAGACGAGGTGCTGTAGATGGCATCCCTTCGAGACACCCACCGATATCTTCGCTTGGTCAGCAGGCCGCCAACGTACTCCCCCAGAGCTTGGCAGTCCTCTGCACTCCCGTACTCCAGCTCCAAACTATCAGCGGCTCCTGCCACGCTTGGACAGGAGATCGAGGCTTGCACTGCCATGGACAGTTGGCGGAACGAGTTTTCAACGGTAGGTATGTGAATAGAATGTCTCTTGCTCCTTTCCGTGACACCCCTGCCACCTGAAACCTATCTTGCAAAAGTGCAAACCATGAAAGAGATAGACAGATAGATAAACCATGCTCAATGAAACAGAAAGTAGGCGAGCCAGCGAAGGCTCAGGAATTGCTGATAGGAAGGCTGCCAACAAGCTCTTGCATCCTCTTGCCGATGATGATCATCAATACACACGGCTCCGGCTAGATTTACTTTGTATGTCACTTCATACACCAGGAAACAAGAACACTGCATGCTGTACAATTATGCTGCATGCTTCATTCCAAGGTGCCTTTCAAGTCGGTGAAGCCACGAACCATCCTTGAGACACTTTGCTGTGGCTCCGGAAGGTCTGGCATCTGGACGGCCAGGAGGATGAGCGCTGAAATCAACGAGCAAACCGCACTGAACAGCCAGGGCAACACAATGGGGTCTCGCACTGCCAGGTGCCCTGAAATCACGGGACCCAGAAGGCGGCCAATATTGAGCGCAAACTGCTGCATCGCGAAGACACTTCCGCGGTTTGATGGGTTCGTAAATTTCGTCAATATCGTGCCCGAGCTGCCACCGCGCAAGGACACGCCAACGCGTGACAAGCAAAGGAAGATTACAGTAGTCCAAACACCTGGGACAATCGCCATCAGCAGACTGAAGGCACCGCCGAACACAGATCCCAACACTGCAGTGTTCTTTAAACCAACTCGTTGTTGAACACGGCTAGTCCCCCAAATGCTGGTAGCCAACGTAGCAAGGGCAGCAAGCACAAACGTAAATCCAACATGGAGGGAGTCAAAGCCAAGCTTTGCGTCCAGTGTGATGGCGGTCATGGAAACTGCTGTGCCGAAGCTGATGCCTTGAAATACAGCAGAGAAGGCCAATACTTTCACACTTGGTGGAACATCGGCAGAGCTGCTTGATGAGGCCTCTACAGTGGCAGTCTTCGGTTTTTCCCTGTCCGCAACCCAGCTAGGTGACTCAGGCAAGTAAACATAGCACAGCCCGGCGGCTGCCAAGGACAACAAACCATCCACCAAAACAGGGATGCTCAGTCCAAATTTCGACAGCCCACCGCCCAAGCCTGGACCAAAAGTCATAGCCAAGCTTGGGACCGCTGATAGTTTGGACATGTAGTCGGGAAGGACAGCAGGAGAACACACATCACTGAGATACACCTGTGCCGAATTGCCAACCGCTGCCCAGACTCCAGAGAAGGCTCTCCAGCCGAGTAGCTCGTAGTAGTTTCCAGCACAGGCTTGTCCCAGATTTGCAATTCCAGCACCCACCAAGGAGGCAATGAGGATCCTTCTCCTTCCAACTTTATCTGAAAGCTTTCCCAGAACTGGAGCACAGAAAGCGGATGTGAAGCTCCATGAGGCGTAAAGATACCCGATCGCCGCATTGCTAATATTGAACGACCTGGCATAATACGGCAATGCCGGTGTTGAGATCGTGGCCGCTAGTGTGTCCATGAATATTGTGATAAACACCATCCATATCGCAGCTTGGGGAACGAGAAGGCCTGTCTCTGCATCATAGGTACCTTAGCTGTGACTTTGGACTTGCTTGTGCTGATGCTGAGTGAGCCTTCCGTCGCAGCCGCTTACTTGTAATTAGCACCATTGCTGTTGAAGCGGTCGATGCAATGGCTGCCCAGGAGGAAGTTTGCGCGCAAAAAGCATCAGGCATCACCGCAAATGCAAGACTTTGGACGAGCTTCAACGAAGAGCACCTTCATCTTGTGGGAAGACCAGAAGATTCGGTAAAAAGCACAGTCGATGCCAAAGCGGCTAGAGATAGCGGAGGCCGTACATCTGTGGACTAATGATCGCATTTTCGAGCGCGACTGCATGTTTCTCCGCTTGTTCATCACACGCTAAGGTAATATACTGCATGCCATGCAATCAATGCATCCTTGTCTACTCGCATTGCTCTATGCCGACGCTCGCCAAGCTGTCAAGAAATCAAGAAATCCGTAAGCTTCTTGTCACCGATGTCTCGCACAGCTTGATTCTTGTCTGTCCAACATCCACGGCATGTCCGAACATGTATCAGCTCATATCAGTATCAGTTAAAATGTTAAAGGTGTCGTAGTGTAATTCAGCATTTTTGGCCAGGTTGCCTTCGGTCTTCGGCACGAGAGCGGACTCCATCGCAACAGGGAGTGTGCTTGTTAACACCCCCGATGACGTGGATTTAGGTGACGGCTCCAAACTTTGTCTGGTGAGAGGGCCGGGCTGCAGGAGCACTATAAGTTGGACGTTTGTGGATGAGTTGATGGTTCTGTTACAGGCCGTTCCTGCAAGCAGCTTTCATTAACTAAGACCACCGACAACCAGCTGTGTGACAAATGCAAGTGCGTGCGAGTGCATGGCATGTGCAAACTCAAAATCTGAGTGGCTGCAATGCAAATCACGGCAATGCAGCAAGAAGCTGGCAAACTATTCCGGTTGATTTTGCTCTGGTTGAGATCACTCGTCTTCTTCTGCTGAGCCTCTTGAGGCGTATCGACGCATCCAGGTCTCTATATCTGGCACGCCGTCCTCCTCCAAGGTCAGTACGTGAAACATGGCTTGGATCAGCTCGCCGCTCGTTCAATTTGCTAGACTTGCAGACAGTTGTGCCTCGTCGTCATCGTCATCATCCATGGCAGATGCCTTGCATGGAGCGATATCACTGAGAGAAGCTAGAGCCAAGTAGACACGGTGGACGTCAAGAGCTTGTCTAGATGACCAGAAGGAGGATCCTCCTTTACAGCGCCGCTTGTCTAAACGGCTTCGCCAAATTTCTGACACGACCCCTTGCGACTCTACATAACAATCCGCCTGTGGCTCCACGGCGTGTTTCTTGTTTCTGGAGGCTGTGTATATTTCAAACTTCCGACAGTCAAAGCCAAGTATCGAGAGTTGATGGACTTGGTGGTGGTGACCGGCGTTCAAGCGGCTCATGCTCCCTGCTTAACGCCGACCTGAACAACGATATCACGCGGGTTCAAACGTGCATGTGCCGCGAGCAGAACAATGCCTCCCGGCACTTGGGCTGGAAACACCTGCAGAGCTAGAAGTCCGTGGGTCGCTCCATTGAATATGCCGCCTGCCTTCTCCACTTTCAGCTATGCTGTCGGCGATGGGCTCTTTGGTGCTCCTAGCTTGAATCGCACTCTCACCCGGCTGCAGAAGCAACGCCGTCCGTGCACTCGCCAACACTAACCGACAATAACATCGGATCGAAAACAGCAGAGACAAGCCTGTGCCGCTGTGGGAAAGGCTCCAGGATGCTCTGGGAATGTCTTGGGAGGACCCTTTTGTTGGGTTGGTCGAGAGGGTGGACTCACGCGGGCTCCATCTTCGCCGGTCGAGCGCTGGGTGAGCAAGGAGCTAGAACAGACGGCAGTGAGATGGAGTGGAGAAGGTCGACCCTCAAGCTGCCTAGAAACCCAAGCCAGGCATCAGTTGATGGGCGGGGTTGGGGGTCGATTGCGAAACTTGAAATTGAGTATGCAGGGGATTTTTCTCATCGGTTCTGCGCCTTCGCTGCCATGAGGTAGCCGCCTGTCTACTCCATGTTCTGTCCTTTCATGCGCAGTCCCTGGCTGGCGGCTAGCTGATCAACAGCTCCCAAGATTACCGAAGCCGAAAGCTGCGTACGCACCAATCTACCTACCGGTGTAACGATACATCTTGTTGACTGCCTTCCTCGAAATATGGGAACTGAATCATTCCAATGGTGTGTTTTCCGTACAAGACAAGACCCTGTTGGCCAAATAGTCTAGTACTGCTGTTCTTGGTCTGCTTATGTCTGCTTGCTGGGAAAATGACAAACTCGCACGTCGTGTTTGAGCATTGACCGAATTCCTTCGTGAGTACATGGCAATACTTTCAACAGCAGGTTGCCAAAATAGATGCGGTGCGTTGAAAATGTGCCAGTCGCTTTCACTTCATAGCCTGCGCCTCCTTGATGTGATCGTTGGAGGAATTGCTGCAGTTTCGAATTGGCCAATCCAGCGGGCCTCTGCAACGCCCACTGCGCTCCTCTTGCGCACCGCTGTTTAGTTTCTCGTTTTGGGTTTTGCAACTCACAGCCGAAGGCCGCGACCCCATAATATCCAATAGTTGGATATTTTGGCACGGTTCTCCAAACACTATTCCACCACCATAGGCTTCTTCCGTTCTATAGTTGGTAAGGGATTTGGATAGTGATCACGTGAAGTTTCCACGGCAGGAGGTTCTGCAGCTCCTGTTGTGGCGAGGTGCGTGTTTTCGACCCAATCGTCTTCGCAGTCCCGCTCCACCCCCATTGCAAAACCGAACGCTCAGGCGTCGCAGTGGGATGCGTAGGTTGGCTGCCTGCGCTGGAATTGGTAGCCCCGGCCAGTCGTTTGGGCCTTCAAGGAGCTCGAAGTCGCCAAAGTCGAGTTTCCCAGGCTCCTCGGCGTGGTCTCGAAAATCCTTTCGGAATTTTGCGAGACTCGAAGTCGCGCTCCCACCGTTTTTCGCGTGCATTTCGCGTTCCCACCACCGTCCCGTGCGTTTCTGCCTGCCGTTTGAAGTCGTCCTCCTGTCACAATCCTGAAAAGGGCATATAGGGCTTGGACTGCTAGGAGTTCTTTGCGCGCTGTGTCACAGACATAAATGTAGATGCCTGATTATTCATACATCTACAAAGATGAACCGTTCAAACGCAGTCTCGCCGCACAGAAGTTCCTGACACGCTTAGTTGCCGCTGATGCACTGGCGCTTAGCGCATGAGCAGCCTCGAAAATATCAGCGCGCCCTTCGAGGGGGTAAAAGGCTTAGAGGTGACTCTGGACAGCGCTTGGTTCAGTCTTTCGGGGCCCCCTTGAGTCCAGAAATCAAGGCGAAAAGAACACTTACAGGGAAACTTATGAACTTGCAGGGAACTGAAGGAGTAAAGGAGGAGACAAGCCGAGGAGACGACCAAGTCCGCCAAGGCCTAAGACGAACTTCTCCTTTAGCCTTAGCTCCTGGTCCCTCACCGTTCGCAAAACGTAAGCGCTCTGCCCACCAGCATTACGGTAGTTGGCAGACATGCTCAGATTCGAAACGACATCAAGCTCGACCCCGCAATGCAAGTTTCGTTGTAGAGCACATTTACCGGATTTATGAAGCTGCTAGCTGGATTGCATCCGCTCTCGAGACCACGGACACGCAGGATCTGCCACGGTCAGCCGAACGCGCTACTTCCTATGGACGAGCATCATGCAAAGCACAAGATCCATCGTGCAGCGATGTACCTGCTAGACATTCCCTACTTTTCTTGGTCGGATAGAAGGCACGGACCTGGAGGGATTTCCCCTTGAGAGGGGCAGGAAGGCGGAAGGAAAGTTCGGGGCTCGGTCCTGGGCTCCCCAGGTAAAGAGCACTCGGAATCCTCACGCGGCTTCGGCTCACGGCTCTCCCGGGAACGTGATTAAAATGTCGCACGAAGCCTTGCACTTGTCCAGAACGTCCTGGAGGATGCAAGAATCTTCTCATCGCAGCAGAGCCAAACTGTCAACACAAGGAGTCCTCGGTCAGATCAGAATCCTGCCAGCCACCGAAGACTGAGGGTACAATAGCTCATAAGTCTGCTCCGGTTGGCCTGGTAGCCCATGGCTTCCCATCGCGCGTCTATCCAGCGGGTCAGCATTTCCGACTGCGAAGCGTTTTGCAAGACTGAAGGGGAGTTACACAAACTCTTCTGCTGAAGGTGCCTTGGTAACTCCTTCCAGCTCGCACATCTCATCAAACCTCGGGTGTCAGTTCGTAAGACTTTCCTGAGACAATCGAACGTCTGAAGCAAGCTCGCGACATCTTTTCGACTTCAGGAGGGAGTTCTACCTCGCCAGCATCGACCAGCATCACGATTGCTCGTTCAGTCGTTGCTGTTGCTTGCCATTTTGATTGCTGGGGTCAACCTGGGGAATTTGCGATGGTTGGTTCAATTTCGCTTCGGTCACTACAATCCCCTGTTGCGTCGACAACAGGTCTCGACCTCAGGCGTCTTGTCTCATAGCTTGGTGCTTTCTCACGAGCTTTCTCACAGGGTTTCTTTTTCTAACCAGAATTTTCACCACTTTTCGAACTTTGGTGGGATTCGCAGTTTGTGTCGTCGAATCCTAGACAGGACCTGAACGTGTCTTGTTTCCGCATGAACTGGAGATCATGAGACTTTCACGAATGCTCCATCTTAGGCCTGCTGTGCGACTTCGTAATTGATTGTCTTCATTACTTTACGGGATTCAAGGCCCTCCGAACCGAAGCTTTCTACGGATGCAACATCCGACTTCCTCCAAATCCTCCTTCAAGCCAACAGAAGTTGAAGGAGTGCGACTCATGGCAACCCGGCGTTGACCGCACAACATGCAAGTGCAGAGGCAAGTGCTGAACAGCTTGATACAGGCTGTGCCAAGCCTGCAACGGCACCAGGTCGTCAGCGGCCCTCGGCAGCGTGATCATTGCAGTTCATTGCAGCATGCACTCCAACGTATGAGGAGGTCGCAAACAGCCTGGAACTACCGGATCAGGAGCCGGCACACCGAAGTGAAGCGTAAGTACGCACCACGCCTGATGCAGGCTGCGCCCGTCGTCTTCGCCGCATATGGAAGCGGGCTATGGAGCAGGTAAAACAGCAAGAACGATATCAGAAGCTGATCGAGAAGGCCAGTCAACAGCGACCACCAAGAAAGCGTTGTCAGAAGCACCCGAAGCCACCAGTACCCACGCCGACAAGTGCCCTTCGGTAACTCGAGCCAACTCCCCCGACAAGCATCCACAAGCCGTAACCACGGTCGGCATGTTTCGTGCTTGGATCTTAAAACCTTGCGCTTTGTAATTAGCGGAACCTGTCTGCTTCTCGAGGTTCTTGCAGTTTTGGGGAGGGCGTGCCAGCAGTGAAGGCTTGTAGGAAGGGTGCACAGTCGCTCTTCTCCCTCCCCACCCGCCCCCCGCCACGCATGGCCGACTGCGATCACCCACCCAGTAGAACATTTGTAAGGTTACCCTGGCTGCCTCCTGCCGCAGGGGGTCAGCGGGGTGTGCCCTAGAGCATCTCCTCATAAGCGTGAGCAATTACTGTGTGAGGGGCATGCTTTCAGTCTCCTTCACAACAGCAATTACTACACATGCCCCTCTCCCGTCCAGCAAGCCGCCAAAGCCTGAGCACAGTTCCGCGCAATTTGCCCCATACATCCAAGCTGGCAGCAAGTCGAGGAGGCAGTAACAGTATTTGCTGATGCTGACGTTCGGTCACGCACTGCTGCTGTCACAAGATGTATCAGAATCAGAACCACCCGAGTCACAGCCCGCTGTTGTTACATGATGTGTGGAGTGATGCTGCTTGAGTTCTTACCATCGCTGCGAAGGTCTCGCGGCTGCCTGACCCACTTCCGTGCTGTTGTTCGGGCCCGAGCAGTATCGGGACACTACAGAGAACAGGAAATCTTGGCTCCATAGCCTGATTCGTGGAGCAAAGTATTCACAGGAATGAATGTGTACTACAAAATCCGTATACAGCCACGCTACCAGCACTTACGGGCGGCGTTCCGGGCTGCGGAGGATGTCTATTTGGGTGGACATTCCAACATTCCAAACTTCAACCCAAGTCAAACTGCAGGTGGCCATGGCCATGCTCTTGCTTTGCAGCATCACTACGCAGACTCTGCTGACCACGCACACACACACACACAAAGAAAAACTCACACGTTGTTGACGCTCGCAGGCAGACAGAAGGCAGGCAGGCACACACTCGCTGAACTTGTTGCAAAAATTGCTGGTTGCGATGGCAGAATCCAGGAAGAGCTCGTCATCTGCACGCTTTTTTTAAGGCACACAATCTCAGAAATCTCTTCGACGAGGTAGACGTGTACCTGCCCCTTGAGGGCGATAACTCACGTCAGCATCTCGAGGCCTGCCGAGAACATGCAATTTCTGCTGCACTGCAGGCTCAAATGGCCTCATTCGCAGCCTTTGAGAGAAGGGGAGCTCGCCGTGACGTAGAACAGGAAGAGACAAGGATGTTCGTGGCACCTGCTTGGGATCGGCTGCTGCTGCTGTCGACTCGTGGGACTCTGCAATGCGGGTGATCAAGGTGGCTCATGGTGTTTCGTGTTTTTTTCTGCTCGCGCTGCTTCCTGCCCTGCTGCGCCCGGGATTCACCCTCCTTCCTGCAAGGATGTACGGGGGTACAAGTAGGGAAGCTGCGCGAGGCACCCATTCTCGCCAAACGTGGCTTCTCTGGTGGTCAGGGGCTCTACCGAAAAGCAGTCTGCGTGAAAGCAATGTGCTCAAAGACAGGCCACTGCGTATACTGTCATGTCAGCGATGAAGCGACCTCGTTTTTGGCCACAGACGAACTGGCGCATCCCTGTGTGGAAGGATGATCCTCCTGATGATGATGATGATGATGGATGCACTCGTGGGAACTGAGTAAACCTGAGAAGAATGGGTCCGACGACGACAGCTCGAGCCGCTCGGTGGTTCTCGGTATCGTCTAGAGACGGCGTCTATAGGACCGAGAGATACGCACAGGGGAAAGTTGTCCTCCCGCACGCGTTGAGATATTGGATAGTGGGGGACAGAGCGGAGAAGAGTGGGCATGTGAAGTGTGAAGTTGGTTTCTGGGCGACAACTACACATTCGCGTTAGCCAGCCTTCAGCTTTCGACCACTATGGTTTCGGCTGGTGTACTGGTGGTGTGTTTGCGAGGCTGCTCGGATGGCTTTTTAAACAACACAACCCAACCCGAGACTGTACACCTCCAGCATCACTTGGCCGATAGATCCTTTCCCACAAAACCGCACATGCGCCAGGCTCCGCTGGTAGTGCCGTCACAACCTGGGCCTCCGAACACGACAAAAACGCTAGCGATGCCACCAGGCTTCTCGAAACTTCGTCTGCACACGACGGGCCTCTCGCAATTGCTGTCCAAAAACGCAACTAGATGCAGACTACTACCCAAATGGCGTCGAAGGGTCCGCTGTGCTTTTGCCAGGATGATATGGCCAGGGGGTGGTCGATCGTCGAACCACACAAAGGATCTAAGACTGAGAGGGTTCCCTCTGTTTGTGGAGGGATAACCTTACCGAACCTACCTTACCAGGTGCAAGCCGCCGGTGCCTACTTTTGCCAACCTCCCTCCACCCGGGGCATTGCATAGACCCTCTGCAATTTCCCGCCACCCCTCCCTTCCCTGGCTACTCCCAGGATGATGGTTTATCCCACCGGCGCAGATGTCGAGACCCAGCTCTGGCCTTCACTTTGCGCTTTGCTGCGTGCTCGTGCTTGGAGTTCAGAGGAGGCAAACGCCTTGGATCGGTTCACGAACTTTCAGTATACGGTCACAAGATTCAGGCGGTCATACGGGTAGCTCGAAATCAAGGTCCGTGCAGGGTCATCTCCTCTTGCTGAGAAGATTTGGGCACCTTCAGCGCCGCCAGCATCGCCTCCTCTTCCGATTCCTTGACCTGCTCATAGCTGACGTGTCAGTCTCGAGTAGCATGGAAAGCCTATGCGCGCCTGGCGGTGATGCCGATGACGATGTCTATGGACGTGATGATGTTCCATGATCAATGGGGAAGGAAGTGCACGATCGGATCCGTGTGCGGTCCTTCTCGCACTCTTCTCGGCAGGCTGCCGAGCTGAAAGTTCATGCAACACATCCAGTGCAGATTTGTAGCCCTTGTGTTCCTCAATTCGGCCAAGCTGTTCTTTTGGGGGTGCCTGTCTCGACTCACGCATCACCCAGCTGGCGGTAAGGAGGCTGGAACTTTCACGTGATGTAAGAATGCAGCCTTCCGGGGGCTTGCGGCTGTAAGGTTCTTCCTTGGCAACCTCTGTCTCTGCCACATCCAATGCTTCTGCATCGTCTCGTCTCGCGGAGGTCAACATCGGACCGGCTGATCCTGCCTGCCAGCCAACGTGCTCTTTACAGTTCATTTCCTACGAATGCTAGTAGGCCCTTTCGGTTCACACGACTCCAGCGCAGCTGCCCGGCTGGCCTCGTTGCAATCAAGCCTGCACATGGTGTCACTATCACATCTACTCGCGCACGTTTCAGCGCTGCGCGATATGTTTTTTGATGTTTTTTGCTGTTAACATGGGGGGTCCTTGTGAGCGCGTTTTATCCGTTTTCTTGCTGGCTGCACATAAACCCTTCTCCAGCCATGGTGCATATTTTGTGTATCGCTCACGTTCTCTCAGTTAATTACACACTTCCGGCGATGTCACGCTCTTCGGAAAGCGCGATACACAGCAACCATCACCAACTTCGCTCTTCGGGCGAAGTTATGACGATGGTGTCCTGACAATACTTGAACTCACAGTGGCAAGCGTGGAAGCATTTCGGAAAGGGTACCTGTGCAACGTGGAGGCCCGTTAGTATAGGGATGGAATTGTGGGATGATGCCCTTAAAATGTGTGAAACTCTATCTTGAACCCGCCCCGTTGTCTCTTAACGCCGCGCCCGCGGTCGATCCCGTTGAATTGAGCCAGCCCCCTTAGTGGGCGCTGGTAATGGATGGAAGTAGTATTCGCAACCGATCACTGAAACTCTCATACTTGCATGGCGAAATGCAAGTTGTCAAGCAGTCTAGTGATTTCTTTGCAACTCTGCTGCCTTGAGCCTTGATCTGCATGCCGGATACAACCATCTTCTTGAACATCGAGATGGCTAGCACCTGGGATGCTGGGCTTTCATGCGCAGCTCTGCAAGCTGCTCAAACTGAGCAAGTGCTGAGCCGATCCAAGGTACTCGTTTGAGCTTCCGGAGGCTGCTTCGTGTTGAGCTCATCGGAGGAATCGCTGTTTGCGATTATTGGCCTTGAGTTTCAATGCAAGGCACGGCAGTGCCCAGGGGTTGCGGCTTCACAGGTGCCTGAGACACTGCTCCGCTTCGATGGTGTCGGAGCGCTCAGGGCCGTGCCACGTCTGCCTTCGCAGTATGCTTGACTGCATCTTAGCTTTAGAGCATGCATCAATATGCGGTGATGCCTAAACGTGACTTCGCGGCTCCAGGTCTTGTCAAGAATCCTTCCACGAAAGCCACAGAGCTAGGCACGGTTTGAGAATATCTCCACTTCTATTGTTGCCACTGCCAGTGAGCTGTCAGTACTGACATTTTTCCGCATGGTGTTGGCGGTGCTTTCGCGACTTAGCATAGGCACAGTAAGCATGACTCTCTACTTCTCCTTTGCCGGCAAGCGAATGTGCAGGCCTAAGGCTGGGCGCGTGGACACTCTGGCCGGCTGGCTGAAGGAAAGCATGCTACACGAGTTGCCGTCTTGCCAACGTTCGCTGGCACAATGTCTGCAATTCTATACAATGCAAAAACACCCTCAAACCTCTGGCCGATGTTGCCGCCTCACCATGTGGCAATGTTTTCGTTATTGCGATTGGCCCTGGCCAATGGACAGGACGAAGGTTGAGTTGCGTCTTTGCCAGCGTCTGTAGCCGGCCTGACATCGAGTCCAATTCACAGAACAGGCCAGAGCTATCAAGAGCATTAGCCAAACGACCGCAGCTGAAGTGATTGACGCAGGTTCTGGATCAGGCCGCAACTCTCGCAAAACGAGTCCCGAGGCTTCTCCGGCAACGAGAAGGGAGCACCACCAAAGCGGACCCTGCAAGAGCAAAGAACCGATTCCATTCCGACCATTCCTGGGCAGTGGTGGTGGGGGCTCTACAGCAGCACGTTGAAGAGCACGAAGCGCCAGCAACAAGAGAAACAGCGTAACCCACTTCCGCTGAACAGCCAAGCTGAAAGCCTCCAAGGCAACAAGGACTGCATAAAACCAAGTTTTCCCAGGCCGCCAGGGACTGTCAACACTCCCGTCACGAGTGCGAGTGGCGACACGGTCGAGGCCGTCAAGTTGCGGATCTTGCGGGAGGAGCATCATTCGGTTGTGGCTGTCTTCCGTCCGCGACCTGTCCAAAAATTTTAAGATGCCGCAGCAACAGCAGCACCGGTGTGGAGTCGAAAATCGCGAATCAACTGCCCAGCGGAGAGCTCTGTCCAAGAGTCCCGCGGCCATAACCAAACTGTGAAGAGTGAAGAGAACTAACGCTGGCTTTCGCGAGTAGCTTAGAAGTGCTAGAGGGCATGCAAGAAGGGCAAGCAACAAATGCAATGGGCCGTGCCGCGGATTGCAGAAACTCAGTCTGCAATGCCATGCCCTATGAGCTAGCTCCAGTGCCAAGCCGAGTGGGGCTGTGACCAAGCAGCCCAGCATGAGAGCAGCTTCCTTGCAACAGTCGGCCGGTCTGTACCAAAGAAGAAGCTGCAAAAGGGGCAGAAGTGCCACAAGGCACACAGGCAGGAAGTAGGCGAGGGGAAGGTCTCCATAGATCCACCGGCCACCGAGCAAAAGCACTGTGGCCAGGAGCTCTGCAACATGGCGGGCCAATCTCCAGGTGTCTGCCGTGTAGAACCGAGAGCCCAAAGGATTCTGTGGGGCGTTTCGCGTAGGTGGCAAGGATGCCAGGAGGACAGCCAGTGTGTGAAACAAGAAAACTGCAAGAAGCAGAGCCGCCATATTCGCTGAAATCCATTGCAGGCTAAGGAAATTGTCGTGTCGACATCTGATCCGCGGCTGTCTGCAAAAGTGAACCAGTAGTGTGCCTAAAGCGATGAAGCGCAAAGCCTCACTGAGAGTAAGAAGGAGCTGATGACCGAAGCATCTTGTCAACTGGCGCACCAAGACCCGCCAGCCAGGAGCACAGTCCTGACCGCCGTACCTCAGCCATCGACCCGCCCCCCGATGCATCGACGTCGCTTGAAGCTGCTTCTTTACCAAGGCAGCCAAGCTACGGGGTTCGACAAACCGGACAAGCAGGAGCCTCATCGCTGGCGCGAGTGCCGGCCGTTCGATGGATCCATGCTTCGACGCAGGAAGCGTGGACGCCACCCATGGAGCCTCGACAAAGACACGGCCGAACCAAGGGCTCGCTGGTTCCCGCATCGCGACAGATCCAGCATTCCAGCAGCTCTGTCCTGGCACCAAGCTCACGGGAAGCCTACGAAGGATGCGAAATTGCCGTACAGGCATTGAAACCGACATGTCCCTCTTGCAAAGGTGGTCCTGGATTCCCACATCTGTCCCAAGCCAAATTACAGCAGACGCATCCCCGCTTCGATTCGAGCCCAGCTGTCTGCGAGAAATCGTGTTAAGGACAGAGGTCCCCAGATAGGCTGAACGTGGAAGAAAGGCCTTCCTTGACATGAGTGCACCCAAGCTGGGCTCAGTGTCACCTTAGCAGACCCGGCCTCTTCACGCTCTTCGGATAGAGTGCCCATGTTTTGGACATTGACCTCAGATGCCATCGTCTGGCTCCAGCCCAGGCAGACAGATAGAAGCTCACGTGGCGAATGCGGGAAAGTCTTCGGATGTCTGAAGCTCACACGGACCCGAAGCGAAGTGAAAAACTGCAGAACAACGACTCCCCAACGAACCAGCCCAAACCCAGCCAAAGAAGATATTTTAAGCAACTGTCAAGCTGTCAACGCGAGGACTGCCGGCAGACTCCACACATGTGAAATGCACCTACTGCAGTCAGAATGATGAACAGAAGAGCATCTGCAGTATTCTGCAGCATGCCAGTATGCTCGACAGAATCGCGACAGCCCAGAAAAGCCAAAGCTGCCGGCAACTTGGAACTGCTTTGTCGTTGTAGATATTGCAGATTTTGTCGGCATGCTGGCTGGTCGCACTTTTGACACTGACGCGGCGACCCCAGTGTTGAGGAGCTGGCTCTATCTCCATCTGTCGGACGGTCGGCTGACACCTAGCAGGACTGGCAGGCTCGCAGGCATGAGCTCCTGGCCTGGACTACGTCGCGACTACGCATTCCACAATTCAAAGACACGATTCCGACCTCCTGTCTTGTAGGCCGGAAAGCGAGAAGCGCCCATCGAAAATGACCTGAGCCTGTCAATACGCCGCGACAGGGCCAGGGCTTCCGGCGCAGTGGAAGGGACGTGCAAACTTGAAGAGACGTACTTCACGGCTTCACCCCTATATATACGAACCACTCAAACCGCTTGCCTTCGCCTCAGTCCATGGCTCCCGCAAGTGCTCCCGCATGCTGCTCTGTAAGCCTTCGATGCCCAATTAACACCTGCTAAGCGAAACCGACCGATGACCTCGGATACATTGCAACCTCGACGTTTGCTTGCCAATGCCCCATCTGGAAAGCATGGAAAACTGCACTGGCTTCGAGACAAGGCTGTGGACTGTGGACCAGCCAGATTCGGACGACGCCGGCTTCTCCGTATCTGCGAATCCCCGCAACGAATCCAAATCAGACGAACTTAACGGCTTGAGCTTAGGATGTTATTAGTACTTGGTCATACTTGGTCCATGTTCCTCTTAATGTACCGTGCATTCGGGCCTACTTGGGGACACAGAGCCCAAGACGTCAGGAACGTTATGTTTCTGGGTTTGCTGGCGCAACTGCAGCTGCATCCTGCCAATTGCCGGTGCGGCCGTACCCACGCGTCCTTCTACGATGCATGCAACCGATCATGGCTGTATGCTACCAAGGCATTGTCGAAAAGGAGTTGTCGACAACGTTCAAAATTGAATGAAGGATATCCTTCGTCCGGTGGCGATAGCTTGGGGTGGGTGTAGGAATGTGCTTTCGGGCATTCTCCGAGACACGTTTAGCAGCCTTTACTTTGGTATGTGCTTCGCGCTGTCTGCAGCGTACCTTTGCAAAAGACCGTACTGCAGCGCCGGAGTATTACCAGCACTTTGTCTGGCCTTCTTAGCACAAGTTGTCGGAGTGGCGCGGTGCTATTAGGAACTGATTATGAACCTGTTACTGTTTGCTACACTGACGAAGTACAGTATTCTTGACCTGAACCCTCATTCGTCTCTCCTGTTGGCTTGCTAGGAGGATTTGGTGGGCTCCACGATGCAACATCTGCTACCCCACCTACAAGGAACACAAGTCCAACAATACGACTTCGTTCCTATGCTGTAAGAGAGCACTTGTTCCTTTTCCCTTTTCCTTCATTGGCACGCTACATTCCATCACCGCGGTTTCCATCTTTGTAATGGCCGTTTTCCCCTTCTCTCGGGTTCCTCTGGAGGGGCGGGACGTGTAAAGACTGAGAAGCGCAAGCAGTGTTTTCATTCATTATAAACGCGGCGTCCTTCATTATAACCTAGATGCAAAGAGTTGTTTGTCGTATGCTTCTGTGATTTCATTCTTATTTGATTCTCGTTGTCTTACTAGGGTCTTTCTTAGGCACTCTTTTTACCCTCGTCAAGAACCATCGCCATGCACAGCTTCGCTCTTCACAATCGCATCACGAAGGGCCCGATTCCCCGCGTGTATAGCGATTGGTCCGCGAGGTACTTCTCGAACCGATATGCCTGCTAGTTGCACATCCATCCATCTCTACTGCTCTTGCGATCTGTTCTCGTGCAAAGCCAGCCCGAGAAATCATAGTCATAGTGCATCTGCATCGTTTGAAACTGACGGGCTTTGAAGTGTCAACCAGGCCAACAAACATGAGAACATTCACTGAACCACGGATCACCAGAAGGCATTGAAGTGCTCAAGGACCGGCGGTACCTTCAGTTCCAAGGTTCGAGTCATGCCACAGAAGACAAAAGGAAACTCTGCAGAAACACTACCGGTCGAACAACAGCAGACTTGTGGATTCGATTCGACAAAACTGAGCTAACGACATTTGTGACATACCACAAGGTGTGGCGACAATGAGGGCAACCATTTGTCCCGGAAGCAATGCAATGTTGGCACACAGCCACGCTTCGGGCTTCACAAAACGGTGACATTGGCTTTGCCAATGCTACACCGGACTACGTGTAGGGTAAGGGGGGAAAGCTCTCTCAGGGCCAGCTCGCTGCTGGACTTGGGGAGTCTCCGCTATCGTTGTCCTGGAGCTCCAAGACTCAGAATCGAAGAGATCGAACTTCGAACACTCTAACCTCTCGTGATTCGAGCACACTTGCCTCAACGGCAGGTCCACCTCGGCAACAGCGCGTACATGCGTGAATTCAGGCACAAGGTTGACTTAAGTAATTATCCAGTGACTAGTTTCAGGGCCGGCCGCATCTCAAGAAGTCCTTAAAGCACTTAGGCAAGCTGTCCACTGTTCGTTTATTGATCACTATCACAAACACCAGGGTTGACGTGCTGCGCAACTCTTCTTCTTATCAAGCCAAGTTGGTCAGACAAAGAAAATCCCGACTCCCGACTTGTGGTCGATCAGTTCCAAGGCTAACGACCTGATAAGCATACTACGCAACTGCAGGAAATGCGTGGCCATGGAATGGCAGATCTCACGATGTGTATCACTCCGCCCATCTCCTTAACTGCATTTTACTGCAGCCTGTGGCTGCACATACAGTTAGCGCAATCTCTTTGGGCAGCTCTACACATGGACATGGGCATGGGTTGCCACATTTCGATTTCACAAAACGTTTGTGGTGGGAAAGGGGCCTTGGTGTTGAATTAATCCCAGACACGAACGCGGGCACCTTGCATGTGAATGCGAGCTATGCTAACCATGGGCTACCGACTTGTATGGACAAGACAGAAACACAGTGTGCACAATGCTCTTTCGCTGCCAAGGATTCCCAAGCTGATCAAGCGAAAGCTCTCACCGCAGAAAAATCATGATGGCGATTTGCGTGAGTTATAGCTGCCTTTCTTTGCGCATCGAGTTTACAAAAGAATGGCGAAGCGCAGGTTTCAGCAGCTTCAGACGGCTTCAGGCTACACACGCACTTGCGACACGAAATCAAACACACGGAGCCTTGCACATCACACGCTATTTCTATAGCAGCTGAATCGGTGAGGGCCGAAACAGGGAAAGGGATGGGGCGTAACAGGGAAAGGCAAACAGAGAACGTTTGGGCTGTAACTTGGAAACCCCTGCCTGAAACAAAGAAAGCAATGCCCTGCGTAACGAGGAAGGCTGCACAAGGTAAGCGGAAACACACCTTTAGAAAGACTTCAAACCCAAATGCTGTCGACCCTGAATGCACGGCATGGTTCACCAGCAAAGGCATACGTGCACAAATCCTGGGTGTCTGCTTGACCTTATTTTAAGTGGCGGGAGGTCTCATGGGCATACGAGCGTGAGAAGTCTGTATGACCATAAAAAAGGTTGAGGCTGGAAAACAATACCAAATTAATGCAAAGCAAGGCCGCTGTGAAAATTCACGCCAGTCTCCCACCATTCAGAACCTTCAGCATTGTCCTTCGTAGCTCCTGGCGACGAAAACTTTCAAAAATACGTGCATCAGTGTAATCCGTCAAACTGTGACCACCAACCTTAAATCTGTTCAAAGCTGTGCTCTCGAAGCCCCGCATCACGTCTTTGCTCAACAAGATGCAGCTTGTGCAACCACCCCTTCATAATTATCATGCGTCGAGCTATCCATCTATGGATACTTTTTTGCAGAGTATGCGTATGTGCGTACTTTGCACAATTACACATGCATGCTCTGATGTACATAACCAAATGCCCACCTACCTATGTGTCTTTCTGTCCGGCAGTCCTGCTGCCCCTCTTCGCCTATATGCTACAGCTACCTATGGTTTTGTCGTGTGTGTGTATATATATATATGTGTGTGTATATGTGTGTGTGTAAATGTGTGTGTGTGTGTGTGTGGGAACTATTGTGCTTTCGAGGTGCGCATGTGCAGACACATGTATTACTTACATGCACACTCTCCGGAAACGCAATATACTATTACCATATGCAGGTGCTGTTTATTCTATGGTCGACGATGTGCTTTCGACATGTGTCACCATGCGACACGAAGCGAGGAGGGACAAGAGATATGCAGGGGTATGCGTAGGAATGAGTATCAGTATATGTTTTTTGCAAATGATACAGGCACGTGACAATTAATAGGCGAATTCCGGACAACCAAAAGCGGTCACCCGGTCTTGGATAACACTCATAGAGCCTTCGGCCTTGACACAGCTGGCTCGAACGAAGGAAAGGCCGTGACCCCGATGGTGTTGGAAATGATTTTGTGTGTTTGACTGCACATTAACAAGGATTGCGAAACAGCGACATGAAGTGATTCGTGCTTATTTGACCAGAAACTCGTCTAATTTTCGCCCGAACCATCGTGCAACGGAATGCCAGCCATTCTTTTTGAACGGATCTTTCCAACATATGTTGGGAACATAATAAGTTCATTGGTTACTGGTATCACCTGTCGTTTTGTCTATGGCCCGGTCGCCTTTTAAAGTGTGCATGCTTTCAGCATCAGATCATGCACTTGTAGCCGAGATCTTTATCACAACACTCCTGTAAAGTATCATTCCAGGCAAACCGTGAAACAATACATACGTCAATTTCGGTATAAAGCATGGCTTCGCTGTAGAGTTTTCGGCCTATACATCAAGCACAGCGGTTTGTGTTGGAGTGTGTTGGGCCCTTGTTCTGTCAATTTATTGTTGGACTCACAACCCTGCGTCTTTCGGTGAAGCGTTGTGTAGGGATTTGGCAAAGATATTGGGGGCTTGGTGATTTGTCCGATCTAATTCGACGTGGCCTTCGCTCTGCACAGCTTTGCAGAAGCTATCAGAAGGCAGAAGCAATTCCGGCTTGGTAGCTCCGAACTAGCTAAACTTCTAAACTGCAATCCCTAGCCCATGATTATACTTCAGTTGGATCCATTCATTGAGTTCAACAAATCACAAAGCTTTCATGTGTTCTGCCGTTAGCTTGAGTTGACGCAGCCTACACATGTCCGGAAAGCTCACTGCCAGCAGATCGGTTTTGGACGGTTCCACGTGCAGAGTATCGAAATCCTGTAGAAACCAAGCGCGTAAGTAAACAATCCGATTTCGCGAGCCCAATGATGGTTTTCGACATTTCACAGAACGCGCTTCCACCGTACTCCTACCGCGCTACAACTACGTGCACGGCTCAGGTCCAGAAAGCTATGTAAGTCAAGATTTCCACAGTTGTGAAAAGCGTTTGGTGTGAAATGCTGCTTCGCATGCAAATCTTAAAGCAGTGTAAACAGAACTGCCAACATCGGAACAAACGCGGCCACGCAGGTCGCGAACTCGGAGGATTCACACGAGCACGATTTCAGGGAGCTCGTTTCCTTAATGCTAGCTTCCGTCTTCAACAGCTGTGCACCTGTCATCGCAACGGAGTAGCACGTGAAATTGAACGTGAAAAGTTGTTACTTGACCACCCCACGCCGTGAATCACGTGAATTCTCGCCGGGCTTTGGGTTTTAGATTTTGCAAGCACGTTGCGGTGTGATATAGCAGCACGGGTGGGCGCGTGAAGGGCGTCTTTGTCAGTTGTGTCATTTCGAGGACGATGTTAAGCATCGTTGTGATTGAATTTCACGCCGGTCGCTGGATCAGACAAAAGAAGATCTGCGTAGCCGGAGGGTTTGTTCACGTGGCGTGTAGCCCAGCTGTACTAGGCGGATGCTAACCCTCATGTTAGCTCAACCATTCATGCGTTTGCCCATATTCGTGTCTGCATCCGGGATGCATCACAAAGAACTTTTTCAACCCAAGAGACATCAAGCTTTGTAGGTTGATTTCTGAGATGTCTGGAAAAGGGTCATCGAGCATCTCAAATATGTGGTGCAAGGATCCTGGGCTAGCGCTTCCAGTTTTAGTGCTCTTTGTTGCAATAACCCACCATCCAAAACCTACTTTCCATATCCGTTCATCCTCGCAAGCAGGGGCTTGTCTGACCATCACAGAAAATCGTTGATAGTGATAGTTTCACCCGTCAGATTTTCAGAACCACACACATCCGGCGAGAGTATGCAATAGATCTGAACGGGCCATGAGACGGCTGTAATGCTGTAACAGTGATGAAAACGAAGGGGTGATATGACCTGTGAACCCGAGAAGCAAAAAGCTTTTGCGACCAGTTTGAAAACAGATGCAGGCCGATACTTTCAACTTAAATGGTGCAAATCGGCAGCAGCCGGCGTTACGTAGGGAGCGTCTTCCCTGTTACTGGCGGCACGCCCTTCTCTGTAACAGGCCGGGTGGCCTTCCACGTTACTTGTTCATGTTTCGACCATTGCTTCCGGGTTTGGAGGTTTACTCGCAGGTGAAGCATATTTCCCAGCTAACGGCGTGCGCCAAGAAGACTCGTTCCTTCCCCGAAATCCAGGTTTCTGCATGGCTGAGGTGATGGCTTGTGCGATGCCCGATGAAGTCGCTTATATTTCGATCTCGGTCTTCTATGACCTCAAGCGGGGAGTGTTTGCATCAGGGCTTTCCTAAAGAAATTCTGAGAAGCTGGCGTTCAGCCGGACTTTGACAGTAAAGTCTCTGTCTCCTCGTCTTCTTCTCTCTCGCTTCTGAAATTCCTTCAAGCAATGGAGGCGTCGATTGTTTCGACCTGAGACCAAGCATGAAATGACGGCTATCCCAGAAGAGGCGAACAAAGAACATCAGACGCTGGCAAATGAATCGTGTTCGTGCCGCGGTCTTCATCGCATTTAGCACCAGGAAGGCGCTGCTGTCCGGATGGACCTTCGCGTGCTTGTACTGCACTGAGCAACACTGCAGACGAGCAATCTGCCTTGCCATGGCGGAGATCGTCTATTGTCGTCTGCAGCTCCCGGCCGCAAGTGAATCTCTCCCCGATCGAATCTTGTGAGAACTCCACTTCGTCTACCGGGACTGAAATTCGGTAGCTTCGTTTCCTTCCGGGGCATGACACAAAACACTCACCAGGCTGATGACCATGCGTGCTTCGACTATGCCTGGGCGCTGGCGGGGAAGTTGGAGACCTGGAGCACGCACTTAGCATTGCAAGGGCTGCCACGGTGCAGACAGTTTCTGTTGCAGCACTTGCCTCGGACGTTTCCGCGGAGCGGGCTTTGCAGCTGCGGGCGCTTCCAAGCTCCTGCTCCCGCCCATAACTCCGATGCTCACGAAGCATGCTGCATGCTGAGAAACGTGCGAGCCTCACCGTCTGTGCTTGCGGCCTGCACGGCCCACGGCACTGCAGCTCTTCAGCTCCTACCATGCTGAACCCTGTCCTCGTTTCCAAAAGATCCATGGCTGGGACGGTCACTAAGACTTTTAGCGTCTGCGCCGCCTGAAGAGAAGCCGGATTTAAGCAAAACCAGAGTGTGCATGTCAGTGCGCCTGGCGGGTCCAGAAGCGATCTCTGAAACGGTCCTCCACATAGAGAACCTGTCCAACATTTGCTGCAGCAGTCAACTCCAGTCCGGAGCCCCAGCCCACCGTGTCCCAGATCTGATCTCGAAGCGTTTCTTTCATTGCAATGCTCAGCCTGAGCATGCGTACCGCTGCTACGCATCTGCAGCCAGGGTTGCAGCAAGCAGCAAGCGGCCATCTCGGCCCAACACCGGCCGAGCCCAAAAGCCCACTTATAAGCCTCATAGGCCTTGATCCAAGCACGACTCTGAGCATCTCAAGGCGTCGTTGGCTAGCAGGCTGGTGCACGCTGGGCATGGCACCATTGATAGCTGAAGATATAGAGCCTCCTCAGGCAGATACAGATGCTACAGAATTGAAGGCAATCCAAGACACACTCAGAGACCCCTGCAACGACAGGAACAGCTAAGATGCTTACAGGCACCGATGCTGACATTGCTTCTTCTTTATCTGCAAGGGCACCTGTGACACGCGACACAACTGCAAGGTTAACACATCCGATTGCTGGTCTCGGCATCTCGCGCAAATCAAGAAGCAGTTCACGGGCAGGGAGAGCAAGCAACCTGTCCTGGCAGGAATGCTGCGCAATGCTGCGCATATCTGCATGCTGACCGCCGCAACCGTGCATTCAGGAGAACTTGTGGAGCTCCTGCAAATCAGGCTCGGTTTCTGGATCGCCCTCTTTTTGAATGCTTTGCAATTCCTTGCCGCAACGTTGGGGCAAGTCCATTGCCAAATGTCCCATGTGCCTCGTGGCCTGAGTCTGTGACAAAAGTGCGCCTGGACCGCCATCTCCAAGCCTCCGCTCGGCGTGCTATAGCAGCTACACATCGTCCATGCTGCAAGTCGGAATCCGGCCTCTTCCAGCGGTTTATGCCCTGGGGGTGGGTTTCTAGCATAGGCCTCATACGCACGGTTTTCCTTGTCCTGCAGCCACTGGGGCACATCTCCAAGCCCCGTGTAATCGTGCTTCGGAACTCGGTGTAGCGGCATTCGCTTCGGAACCTCAGCCGCACTGCACATACTGGCAATGTAAGGATAAACTAACAACACCCATACTGGTAACACCAATAGTTCGTCGTTATCATCATTCATAATAATGAATTGATGATGCTCATTTTACATGAACTCTACTCATAGTACGGCTTGTAGCGGTGATAAGGATATTTCGTGATGGTTCTACTACGAATGCACTGTAATAATAGAAAGGATCATAATGACAATACCAACAGGAGTAGCAACTACAGTAATGCTACACCCGAAACAAGTAACAAAAACAATCTAACGACGATACTACATATTGATTTGCGGTATGAAGCACAGCGGTTCATGTGACGATTATTGCTGGTTTAACTGCTGCGCGAACCCGTGCGATGCAGGCTGAGCCGAGGCATCCACCGGTCGCTGGTGGAAGATTGGAGGGGCCGCCTGAGTATTGCAAAACCATGTCAATGTCTTCCGTTGCTTGGAGCTCTGACCGGCTCAAGGCCTTGTGCTTTGGCGGCAGCTTCTTGGCCGCGTGTTCTGCCTGGCAGGTTGGATGCAAGAGACTCTTGCCACCCTACACGTAGCAACATTCCCTCAACTGCACGGTCCGCACCTTTCTCTGCTCCTCCACTTTTACAGTTACCTCTACGGACTCTGCAGCTTCCTGTGCCTTTCTCTGCTCCTCTGCCCTTGCCGCTGCCTCTGCGGCCTCTCGTGACTTTCTCTCCTCTTCCTCCATTCTGGCCGCCTCTGCAGCCTCTCGCGCCTTTCTCTCCTCCTCTGCCCTTGCCGCTGCCTCTGCGGTCTCTCGTGCCTGTCTCTCCTCCTCCGCCATTGCGGCTACCTCTGCAGCCTCTCGGGCCTTTCTCTCCTCCTCTGCCCTTGCCGCTGCCTCTGCGGCCTCTCGTGCCTTTCTCTCCTCCTCCGCCCTTGCCGCTGCCTCTGCGGCCTCTCGTGCCTTTCTCTCCTCCTCCGCTCTTAGCCGTGCGGCTGCCTCTGCAGCCTCTCGTGCCTTTCTCTCCTCTTTTGTCCTTGCCGCTGCCTCTGCGGCCTCTCGTGCCTTTCTCTCCTCCTCCGCCCTTGCCGCTGCCTCTGCGGCCTCTCGTGCCTTTCTCTCCTCCTCCGCTCTTAGCCTTGCGGCTGCCTCTGCAGCCTCTCGCGCCTTTCTCTCCTCTTTTGTCCTTGCCGCTGCCTCTGCGGCCTCTCGTGCCTTTCTCTCCTCCTCCGCCCTTGCCGCTGCCTCTGCGGCCTCTCGTGCCTTTCTCTCCTCCTCCGCTCTTAGCCTTGCGGCTGCCTCTGCAGCCTCTCGCGCCTTTCTCTCCTCTTTTGCCCTTGCCGCTGCCTCTGCGGCCTCTCGTGCCTTTCTCTCCTCCTCCGCCCTTGCCGCTGCCTCTGCGGCCTCTCGTGCCTTTCTCTCCTCCTCCGCTCTTAGCCTTGCGGCTGCCTCTGCAGCCTCTCGCGCCTTTCTCTCCTCTTTTGCCCTTGCCGCTGCCTCTGCCGGCGGCCTCTCGTGCCTTTCTCTCCTCCTCCGCTCTTAGCCTTGCGGCTGCCTCTGCAGCCTCTCGCGCCTTTCTCTCCTCTTTTGCCCTTGCCGCTGCCTCTGCGGCCTCTCGTGCCTTTCTCTCCTCCTCCGCCCTTGCCGCTGCCTCTGCGGCCTCTCGTGCCTTTCTCTCCTCCTCCGCTCTTAGCCTTGCGGCTGCCTCTGCAGCCTCTTGCGCCTTTCTCTCCTCCTCTGCCCTTGCTGCCCTTGCTGCTGCCGTTGCAATCTCGGCTGCCTCCTTCTTCTTTTGGTCTTTATCCTTCCTCGTGGCCTTTTCGTGCGCCGCCATGTTCATAGTCCAGGGCTCGTCCTATCAGAGTACCGACTGGAACAACGAATTTGCGAAATGAGCTCTCTCGAAAGCCAGTGTCCCAACCACACGGCGCACGAGCTCTCCCGCAACCGAACGAAACGGCAGCTCCTGCGAGGGGGACTCTTCTTCGTATGGCGCCGACACCTCCTCCTCCTCCTCCACCTCAGCCTGCTCCTCCTCCCCCTCAGCCTGCTCTTCTGCTTGTTCTTTGGCCTGCAACACGTCAGTGTGTTGCCCTCATCACCCGCAAGAATAGGGTGAACTAAAACCTTGTAGTGCGCGTTGCGGTCAAACCCCAGTGATTTGCACACACTAACCGACTTTAGCAGCTTACGTACTCGTGCAGACTGCACAAAGCCGCGCTATGGCTGTCATCGCCTCTTCCATCTCTGCTTCTTCCTCCTCCTCCCCCTCAGCCTGCTTTTTTGATGGTTCTTTGGCCTGCAACGCGTCATGGCGTCTGCAAGTGTGGAAGCGAGGGACGAGAAGATGTGCGATGAACTTGTTCGGCCCCTATCATTGCACTCCTGCAAATCACCCGACCGCACTGCTCCTAAGTCGGAGGAGCTAAATCCTTGGAGTGCGCTTTGCGGCCAAACCCCAGTGATCTGCACACAATAACCGACTTTAGCAGCTTGCGTATTCGTGCAGACTGCACAAAGCCGCCGCCATGGCTGCCATCGCCTCTTCCATCTCTGCTTCTTCTTCCTCCTCCTCCCCATCAGCCTGCTCTTCTGATGGTTCTTTGGCCTGCAGCACGTCATTGGGTTGCGCTCATGACCAGCACACTGACGACGTTGGCTGTTGCCATGCATGCTGAAACCACGTCCTCTGCTCGTCGCCGACACACCAGCACGCCCTCCATGCTCCCCTAAGGCTCACATGGTCTGCAAGTGCGGAAGCGAGGGAAGAGAAGATGCGCGATGTACTTGTGCGGACCCTACCATTGCACACATTCCTGAAAAGCACCCGACCGCCTATGGCACTGCTTCTACAAGTAGGGTGAACTAAAACCTTGAAATGCGCATTGCGGCCAAATCCCAGTGATGTGCACACACTAATCGACTTTAGCAGCTTACGTACTCGTGCAGACTGCACACAAAGCCGCCGCCATGGCTGCCATCGCCTCTTCCATCTCTGCTTCTTCTTCTTCCTCCTCCTCCCCCTCAGCCTGCTCTTCTGATGGTTTTTCGGCCTGCAATACGTCTTTGGATTGCGCTCATGACCAGCACGACTAGCACACTGATGACGTTGGCTGTTGCCATGCATGTTGAACCCACGTTTTCTGCTCGTTGCCGACACACCAGCACGCCCACCATTCTCCCCTAAGGCTCACATGGTCTGCAAGTGTGGAAGCGAGGGACGAGAAGATGTGCGATGTACTTGTGCGGACCCTACCATTGCACACATTCCTGAAAAGCACCCGACCGCCTATGGCACTGCTTCTACAAGTAGGGTGAACTAAAACCTTGAAATGCGCATTGCGGCCAAATCCCAGTGATGTGCACACACTAACCGACTTTAGCAGCTTACGTACTCGTGCAGACTGCACAAAGCCGCCGCCATGGCTGCCATCGCCTCTTCCATCTCTGCTTCTTCTTCCTCCTCCTCCCCCTCAGCCTGCTCTTCTGATGGTTTTTCGGCCTGCAATACGTCTTTGGGTTGCGCTCATCACCAGCACACTGATGACGTTGGCTGTTGCGATGCATGTTGAAACCACGTTTTCTGCTCGTTGCCGACACACCAGCACGCCCACCATGCTCCCCTAAGGCTCACATGGTCTGCAAGTGTGGAAGCGAGGGACGAGAAGATGTGCGATGTACTTGTGCGGACCCTACCATTGCACACATTCCTGAAAAGCACCCGACCGCCTATGGCACTGCATCTACAAGTAGGGTGAACTAAAACCTTGAAATGCGCATTGCGGCCAAACCCCAGTGACGCGCACACACTAACCGACTTGAGCAGATTACGTACTCGTGCAGACTGCACAAAGCCGCCGCCATGGCTGCCATCGCCTCTTCCATCTCTGCTTCTTCTTCCTCCTCCTCCCCCTCAGCCTGCTCTTCTGATGGTTTCTTGGCCTGCAGCAGGTCATTGGGTTGCGCTCATGACTAGCACACTGATGACGTTGGCTGTTGCCATGCATGTTGAACCCACGTTTTCTGCTCGTTGCCGACACACCAGCACGCCCACCATGCTCCCCTAAGGCTCACATGGTCTGCAAGTGTGGAAGCGAGGGACGAGAAGATGTGCGATGTATTTGCGCGGACCCTATCATTGCACGCATTCCTGAAAAGCACCCGACCGCCTATGGCACTGCTTCTACAAGTAGGGTGAACTAAAACCTTGAAATGCGCATTGCGGCCAAACCCCAGTGATGTGCACACACTAATCGACTTTAGCAGCTTACGTACTCGTGCAGACTGCACAAAGCCGCCGCCATGGCTGCCATCGCCTCTTCCATCTCTGCTTCTTCTTCCTCCTCCTCCCCCTCAGCCTGCTCTTCTGATGGTTTTTCGGCCTGCAACACTGCATTGAGTTGCTCCTGATATACGGAACATGAAATGCTACTCAAAGCTGCTTAGAAGACCAGTCTGAGCCGTTCTATTGTACAGAGCAACAATGCTCCAAACACGAACATCCTCCGTTCTTCACGGTGCTTGTTCGCCATTCATGTCGAAACCATGTTTGCAGAATACGGGTCACATCCAGTCGAGCACGCCAGGGTCGAAGTGCATTCTGATCATCGCGCTCCTCTTGAAGTGTTTACTTTCGCCGATGAAGCCCAGGTTCGATGCAAGTCATGGACCCCCGCCCCACGCCCACTTACTACAGCACTTGCCTTCGACCAACAGAGCCTGGCAGGCTTCCTCCCCTTGAAATTGAACTGGTTCGGATGCGTGCCGTGCACAGTCTCCTCAGTAGCACAGCCTCAAGCTCGAAACCGAGACCCGCATGGAATCGTGCGGCTCATCGGGCAGTTGACCCTCGGCGATAGGGTCGATAGGGCCTGCTTCGGCCTGGGATGCGGTTCAATGCCTGGTGCTTGAGGCTTGCTTGAGGCACTTTCAAGTCAAGAACCCCGCAAACATGAAACAAACCCGCACGTTTTCAAAAGCTAAGATATGGCATCCTGGAGCAGGCTTAGAATCGGCGAGGGATTGAATGTTGGAGGGCGATCAGCAACAGCACTGACGGGATGATGGTGGGAGACTTCGAGGCCGGGGGAGTAGCTCAACCTTCGACCCTGAAGCTCTCGTTCAACAGCGTTTTGTGCTGGATAACATCATCCAAGATATTCTGCAGAGCAAACCCTTTTATTCAAGCAGCTTTGTAATCTAGATCTTCAGAGTTATAACACCCTCAACTTTCAAAGTAACAGAGTGTCGGGTTTCTGGTGCGTCGTGCCTTCGTCTCGTCTTCTTTCTTGTGTATGCTTTCCTTCAGGGCTTACAGGGTTTAGGTTCAGAGCTTTCGGGTTGCGGTTTAGGTTTAGAGAAGCCTTCCGTTGCTGGCCACAAAAACCCGAAGCCGAAGCTCAAAGCCGAAGAACATCCTGGCTTAATAGCCGAATGCGGTGTAGGTAGAGGTATATCATCGCATATATGTAGGGTCTCTCAGGCAGTGCTTGTTCTGACTATTAATCATTCAATCCGCCCACCCTCCGAGCCACTCAAACCCCAAACCTTGAAACCACCCTCGAACTCTCAACTCTCCCGGAAACCTCTCAAAAAGCATTCGGGGGCACACGACTTCGGAGCAGGCAGTCACGAGTTCACGGACTCAAGTTCGCCCGCACTTTTCCCGAAGTATAGGGAATTGTCACACGGTTCTCTCTCCAAACTTGAAACAACAGCATCAGGATCACCTTGTCGGTGGAGGGAGTTGAGGGTTCACCGGATCGTGTTCGCCCGCATCTGTCCTAGATACGTCGCACGTTCACCATTTCGGTAAAGGGAGTAATAGGGAGTTTAAGGTTCTCGGGTTCGCGTTCGACATGCACTTTTCAAAACTGGCTCACCATGTCGGTGGAGGGAGTTGAGTTCACCCGCCTCTTTCGAAAAACATCACACGTTCTCACGTGAGTCCATCCGCCCGCACTTTTCCTGTAGGTAAGAGTATAGTATGAAGTGGTGAACTCTCCTGCACGGCTTCTCGGCTGGTGCACCCTTGACTCTGTTGCTTCGGGGGGTTTCGCAAATTGGGCTGGGGTCGTACCAGATTGGCACATTGAGATCCTGATGTTTTAATTGTGTCCTAGATTGTAAGCCTTTCTCGTTCGGGACTGGAAGGATCGTCTAACTGCGGCGTCCATGACCGCCGTAAACATGAGCAAGAGCAGCTTCCTGTGAGAAGCAGCACCTGAAGTGGTATGGTATGGTGCCAGAGATTTGTAGACATGGTCGAGGGACGCCGAGTGTTTAGAGCTTGGGCTTATTTGGTGTGCGCAAGCAACAGCCGCCCAGGCCTTGGTAGAGAGATTGAGATCGAACCGAACTTGAATCTGCCTTTTGACAGCTTCGTCTAGCACCGTCAGGGTAGATGCACGCTTCCAGATTTCCAGCATGATATTAAGGAAGTTCTCCTTCAAAGCCTTGTCGACGTTGTGGAAGGCCCCCCGAAGGGTGGCTTTCCATGGCGCGAATCCCATCTCCACCACAACCATGTACCGATCGAAAAACTTCACCAGCTCCTCGACTCCTGTTGCTTTGCAAAGAGCTTCTGCGCTGGCTTCGAGCACCTTCGAGCACGATTCCCCCCTTTCGACAGTGAGGCAAAGATGGGGGCGGCCTGGGGTATGGAAATCTCGCATGATACCCGGCACTGCTCCAACATGACCTGCCAGAGCGGATCAAGAGTTTAGGCGCTGAACTTGTGGAACTAATTCGAACCTCTGGCCTGCGAAGGAACTTGATCACCGCCCACTGGTGGGGCAGTAGCACCCTGGTACAAGACATGAGGGAGAGAGAGAGAGAGAGAGAGAGAGAGAGAGAGAGAGAGAGAAAGAGAGAGAGAGAGAGAGAGAGAGAGAGAGACAGATGTGAGTTTTTTCCCCACATCACTGTGTGGGGTTCTTACTTTTTGGGGCTGTCCCGCCGCCTCCTCCTCCTCCTCCTCCTCCTCCTCCGCCTCCGCCTCCTTCTCCTCCGCCGCGCCCTCCTCCGCCTCCTCCTCCTCCTCCTCCTCATCCTCCTCCTTCGTCTCCTCCTCATGATGCAGACACAGACACACTCACATATACACACAGATGTACAGACACAGACACACA